TTCAAATAATTACAAATAGGTCCAACAATTCAAATAATAAAATAAAAATCCAATTAATTTAAATATCACAATTACCAATTAAACCAAGGAAAAATAAAACAACTAACAAATCAATTTAATGTATAACTATTTAAATTCACCCAACACTTAATTTAATTCAGAAAAGCCTAACCACATAAATACCAAAAATAAATAAAATAAATAATGAAAACAGTAAAAGGAATATTAAAATTCCAATTATAACCCTTTTAAAACTAGGGGTCTTACACCTTGGCATAGCATATTCCTATTTGGATTAAAGTGACATATATTTTTAACATATCTGAAATATTTATAATTTATATAATTGGTGAATTCAATGTATTGTGTTTCGATTCATTATAGAATTGATAGTGTCCTCTTGATTACAAAAAATATTTATATGTGTATGAGATGGCGATCAATACATTAATATAAATAGTAATCATAAATTGTTCATAGTCGGTAATTATGGATGGAATCATAATTAATTAAGACTTGGACTGAATCCGCTTTAGGTTGAGATATATTGCGAGAGCCGTCGTATGCAATTGCTCCCTATTACCGTCATGGCATTTGACTCTTAAGCATGAGAAAAGTATAGACTTTTTTGTTAATTAATAATTACTTTGATTTGTTAGGCGGATTCTTCGGGATCCTTAGACCGACACTTTGGGTAGTTATGTAATTAATAGTTAGAGAGTTGTATTTTCAATATTTGCATCATTGCTACTTGTATTTATTTTGTATTGATTATGGTTGATCACAAAGTAAATTCGAAGGCCTTCGTATGTTTTTAGACAAAATGATTTATTATATATTTATTTATTTAAATTATTATTTTTTGTCAAACAAATGTTTTATTGTGATCAAGCCAGAAATAATCAAAGGTACCAAAATTAATATATTAATTAAGCAGTCGGATTGATGGCATTATTTATTCGATAACTAATTATGCATAGATGGGTCAAAGTGCAACATTGACTTAGAGGTTATTTATTATTTAATTGAAGTTCAATTAATTTCTTTTAGTGGAGTAGAAATTAATTTATGAATTAATTTAATTGGGTCAATGGACCGGGCCAATTATTAATTCATTATAGCCAATAAAAATAATAAGCCCAAAGGATTCTCACTCATAGCCCAACTTGATATTGGAATCATATTAGATTTGAGATATGTGAATTAGAGATTGAGAAGAATTTATAGTTTTCTTTTCTTTATCTTTATGTTGCCTATACATGATTTATGTATATTTTAGGGGCGATTTTTATGAGAAGGAAAAAGGAATAAATTTTCTCTCTCTAGAAAATTAGGGTTAGTGTTCTCATCTAATGGAGGCTTCCACAAGCCTAGTTTTCCAAGGTCATTCATGGAGGCTTATGAGTGATTCCTAAAGGCAAGACTATTACCAAGAAGATGGAGATCCATGGAAAAGGTGTCTAGCAAAAGGGATCTACAATAAGTGAGAACATTCACTTTAGAGAAGAGATTTAAGGTTTACTCAAATCTTGATGTAAGTATTCAATCTTTTAATTTAATGATACATCATGTTTTATTTTTGCATAAAACTTGTCTCTATGTGATGAATCAAAATCTATGAATTAAAATCCCTAGAAAAGTTTTTAAAACTAGCACGTTTCCCAACAACTTGATGGCACAAAAATACATAGGGTAAAAGTACAATGACACCCCTAAGTTTAGGATAAGGCTAACCATACATAAGTTGTCACTAATTTCATGATTGACACCACTTAGATTGAGGTAAAAATTTAGTTATTGTCCTGCTCTTCTTTGTTTAATTTAAAGTAGTTCCTTGTATTTTTCCTAGACTTGAAAGTTGCCATTTGTATGTGAATTGTTGTTATCCTATTTAATATCCAATATAAAGCCCTTTTATTTGTTTATTCTTTCTTATTAACTTGGTGTTTGATGGCCTCTTTCATTTTAATTTGGGATAATTTCACTGACACCCCCACTAATTTGGCCAAATATCAGTCTAAAATATTTTTCGAAAATAACTATCACTCACATTACAAACGTTTACTCCGTTTTTCACTCACACCCCAAAAGTTAGTTGACAGGTGTGTCAGACCACTTTTTACATGTAAAAAGACATTCTTACCCTTTGACTTTGGTTTGACCCACTTAATGACATGTTTACCCTCATTTGACTTTAATTTGACTAATTAAATTATTTTTTTAAGTATTCAAATGACATTTTTACCCCCCCCACACATATATATATTACACACAAGCACAACACCACCACCAACACCGGCGACCACCACCAACACCGGTGAGGATTCCAATTTTCCTCAACACCACCACTAACACCGGCGACCACCACCAACACCGGCAAGGATTCTAATTTTATATATATATATCTGACATATATATACACACACACACACAAGTACAACACCACCACAACACCGGCGTGGATCTTGGCGCAAGAGACGGTGGCGCATCAGGTAAAGGAAACGACGGCGGGGTAGGTGAGCCATCATGGTGACGAGCTCCCGGGCAACAACAGCGATGATGTCGGCACAGGAGACGACGGCAGGGCAGGCAAGATCGAGGGCAGTCTTGGCGCAAACGAAGACATCGAAGGCGTCTCTGGGGAGGGAAAGGTTGATGTTGAACCGGCGAGTCACCAAAGCCTTTCTGAAATTGGAGGTTTTTTAGAGAGAGAAAGGGGAAATTCTGAAATTGGAGGTTTTTTAGAGAGAGAAAGGGGAATTCTGAAATTCGTCGTCGCCCATCACCGTCGGAATGTCGGATTACAACCTCGACGGCCATCACCCATCACTTGCCTTACGCCGCCCATCATCTGAAATTCATCGTCGCCATCATCGTCCGAGTTAGACTCGGTGGTGGCAAAGGTCCGAGTTAGCACCTCCACTGGCGACACACCACCATCACCATACCGCCACCTCCACCAACGTGGTCTTCAATTTTCGGTTGAGTGTGTGTGTGCGTGTGTGTGTGTGTGTGTGTGTATATATATATATATATATGACTCCCCAGAAAAGAGTCATTTTAATTGTATAATTTAAATAGGGGTATAATAGTAATTAGGTTATCTGATACTTTGAAATAAATATGATTAAAAAATTAGGGACAAACATGTCTTTTCCCATGTTTTTAACGGAGGCTGTAACGGAAAAGCGAAAATGGACCTAAGTGATAGTTATTTTCAAAAGATATTTTAGACTGATATTTGGCCAAATTACTGGGGGTATCAGTGAAATTATCCCTTTTAATTTTATTTTGTAGCGTTCTTTTCTCCTTTGTAGCCTTCTTGTTTACTCTTTTTAAACCTCACAAATTATTTATTCAGAAAAGCATATCATGCAAGATCGGGAATTTCTGGACGGGCTAGTGTATGCGGGCTGATGGAGGGGCCTGGGTGGCGAGCCGAGCAATGGACTGAACTCTATACCCAGGTCCTACCCTATCCTCTTATAGTGTTGGGCCAGTCTAGGTTTATACGGGCTCCGACTAGGCTTGGGCTAACCCGTGGGCTCTGGGTTATTTTTGCAAGTGCACACGGTCTAGTTCCATACTACTCCAGTCCTGAACCAAATTGGACTGTCCTTAAAAAATTCGAAGTTTAGAACTGAGGCTTGAAAGCGATCGGTAAAAGAACATGATCTATAATAACTTCTTTTATAGTAGTGATGTTGTACACTTTTTAACAAATTAAATACATTTTTCAGCAAAGTAATTTTATTTTTCATCGTATTACAATTGATTGAAGAGTAGCTGCACTTCTCGTAATCTTTTGTAACCGTGTCTCACATCAGTGTCATATCACAATATATTAAAAAGTATTCCTTTCATGCATCCAACATCTGGCTAACATTGTTGTATCAATTTCTACAATTGAAGAGCTCAAGGTTAACGGTTAACAAAGATTTTTTTCCTTTTCTGAAAGGTAGTGTTTAACGGTCTTTAAATAGAACTAAAGGGGATTTTGTTGCACCATGGAAAAATGGTCTTGTATCACATCAACTTGGATCCGAGTTCACAATGATATTCATTGTTGCACTTATTGATCTTATCATCATCGTGGTCGTTGTGGCCCTCATTTATTATGAACAGGGACAACCAAATGAATTTTTCATTTTTTTCATTTTTTTTTTTTTTTTTCATTTTCTATTACAAGTCGTTGAGGTGATTTCTTTACATCTCTTTTTCCTTTTACACTATCAATCAAAATAAATTATTATTTCTTTTTTCTTTTTCTTTAATTTAATCCGAAAAAAATAGAAAAAAAAAAAAATTCTTCTTTAAGAATATTTCATATTCAATTTTCTTCTCTTTTACCGAACTAAATATCAGTATAGAATAATACCTAATTATTGTGGCATACTTACGCATGATAAGATATTGAATGCGCCAGAACACAATATACTGGGCTCATCCGAGCCGTACATGCACAACACTAATGACTTGAATAAGCTCAATGCGCTGGAAGCACTCAATATCTATTCCTTATGCATCACTCACACAATAATTGTGGGATAGGCCCACAACCCAAATTATACGTTACCGTCCTTAATTATATGCAACTCACTCAACGCAACATATACGTAGCAAAATAATTATTCTTTTATCTTTTATATTTTTTGAAAGGTATCATAAAAACCTTTCACATTTTTTAATAAATTTTTAAGGGTAAATTACAGTTACCTCTCCTAAAATTTGAGCAAATCTCACATGAATGGAGCGTTTGAGGTTTATTATTCTAACCTTTCTTAAAACTATAAAAAGTTAATTATACCCTAATATATAATATATTTTCATCATACAAAATATATTGTAAAATCTAAAAAAAATTAATTTTCTAACTCATCTCTTATTACTTTCTATCTTCTCTCCACCACCGTTACTCCCTTCTAAAAATTATTTAAATAAAAATAAATAAATAAATATTGAGTGTGAGGGTAGCTTAGTCATTTTATAATTTTTTTTTTATTTTTTTTTTTACAAGTTTTGATGGAAAGAGGGAATTGTTAAGCATATGTCCAAATTTTAAGGTCAAAATAATAAATTTCAAATGTTCTACTTATGTGTGATTTGTTCAAATCTTAATAAGGTTAGCGTAATTTACCAAAACGTTTCAGTTTCAATTTCAATTTCAATTACAACATCAAGGGCTTTTGCAACGCGATCCAATAGCTGACGTAGTGTTGACAACTTGACAGACCTCTGTTCTGTTGAGAGCAGAAAACCAAACCCCATCTGAATAAACCCTCCCAAAATCCAATCTTTCAAATAATTGAAATTAGGGTTCTTATAATTTTGTTACCCTCAAACTCAGTCGATTTCTAATCTCTTGGTTCAGTTTTGTTGGGAATCATGGGCAATACATCTTCAATGCTTACTCAATATGACATCGAGGAGGTCCAAGAACACTGTAATAACACCTGTAAGCACATATACTCACACAGACATATAATTTTATTTTTGTAATGCTGGAGATTTAGGGTTCTTTGTTAAGTGTGGGTTGATCTTTTGTGCTGCAGTTTCGCAGCAGGAGATAGTGTCTCTCTATGAGAGGTTCTGTCCGCTGGATCGCAACGGTGGTGGCTTCATTTCCGGCGAGGAGTTTTTATCCCCGTCAATCCTCTATCTCAGGTTCAAAGTCGCTTTTTTTTGGGGTCCACAAATTCGTACTTTGCACGGATTTGAAGATTTATAAACATGTTGACCATATTTTCAATGTTTTAAAAAGGTCTCAAAATTGGGTTGGGTTTTGAAGCTCAAATGATCCCTACATGTTTATGTATACAGATACACATATACATTGGCTTCATAGATATGTACTTTTGATTTATTTATTTTTGTTTTCCAGAGATTGTTGAGGATGCTGGATGGATTGAATTTCAAGGAATTTGTGGCTTTCTTGTCTGCATTAAGTTCTCGCGCAAGCTTGCAGCAAAAAGTAGAATGAAATTATTCTTTCTATTATTGACCGGGAAAAAAATTACATTCTGTATTTGTAGCCTGCCAATGTGATTTCATTCTCTCTTTCTCAAAATTTCCACTTTTGATTCTTATAATGGAATTTGTGTTGTAGTCATCTTTAAGGTCTATGATTCGGATGGCAATGGCAAAGTCACATTCAGTGATATGTTGGATGTTTTGCGTGACTTGACAGGGCAATTTATATCTGAACAACAAAGGTAGGTTGGCTTCTATTTTTGTTGCATTGGGTCGTATTTTCATTTACCTTTGATTCTGGTTTATGAGCGAAATTTCTGAAGCAATATTATAATAAAATTCAAACACAATGGTTGATATTATAACTATGGTCTCAAAGAGAAAATGATTTAACTCATCTGAACTAATCATTTAGCTGTACTTGGAAATTCATCCATGCCCAAATGATGATACTATGAACGTAATTCCCTACACCAACCAGAGCATGAAGCTTGTTTTTTGGTTGATGAGGAGTAACATGAAGAGAAACGGAAACTTAGGTTTTAATTTTAACTCTTAAAGAATAGTGAAAAAAGAAAAGTAACATGTTCTCCAATATTCGTAAAACATAGCAAATGCTTAAAATTGTTTCGTTCGAGATCATCTTGGAACATTTTCTTCATCATATTGTTCTCTCCTTTCTCCCAATCATCCCAAGATCCAAAGAAAGGGTTGTATTTTTGCTATTGCCACTTTGATCTTAGTTTGCAATAAAATTCCAGTTTTGTATGTCATCTCTGTAGTTGATCAGAATTCTACTCATTTTGTTCAACTTCTAGGATGCAAAATCTTGGGCCTGGCACACACGAGGCCAGTGTTCGAGTCCTCCACCAAGTCTTCTAGTTTCGTTGACTAACCTGGTGATGTAGCTATAGGGCCGGCTGCAGTATCCCTAGTTTGGTGCCTTGGAGGTGGGTCCGAAGGGCCCTACCTCAGGGAGTTCTGGGTTATCAAAAAAAAAAAAAATAAAATAAAAAAAAGTTTTTGTGAAGAATCTGAGCCACCAAATTCTTATCTTGGGATTCCTCAATGGTTAAGTTTCGTATGAAGATTATATTCGAATTGTTGTTGGTGGCGAGTGACAATGTTGTATACTAGCTGGTGAGTTAAATTGACTAAAGGAAAAAAAATGTAAGACTAATGGATCCAATTTATAAAGTATGTATCAATCAAATGGTAAAACTTTTTTATTTTTTTATTTTTAAAATTCAGAACTCTAATAGAAGTTGGTTAAAGGACTTGAAAGTGGGTAGTACTCATGATTAATGATTGAGGATGCACGACATGCTATGTTGATATAATTATTGCATGGTTTGTAGACAATGAGAGTTGGTGCTAACAGACATATTTCTGGTCATGTTCTCTGTTTGCACAGCAAGTTCTGACCCATGTTCTTGAGGAAGCTGGATACAAAACGGATTCTTTGTTAGTTGTGTCTGACTTTATGAAGGTAATATGAGTCCATATCAACCTTACGTAATCAATAAATTTTGAAATTTTAATTATTTATGTGTTATATTAGTTGAATATAAATTTGTAGATATAAACAAGTATGTGTATTTCTCATTGCTCCTTTATTGTTTTTAAATTTGTAGATATAAACAAGTATGTGTATTTCTCATTGCTCCTTTATTGTTTTCATCTCTTACTTGTAAATATCACTTTACCTTGGTTAATAACCTTCCACTGAGGACAACAACCATGTTGAATGAGAGCATATTGTGTTTCTCTCAATTATTCTTCTAATTCTTCCACAGCTTTGGCATTTGGAGTGGCTGATGTGTACTCTCAGCAACCTTAGGCTGATTCCTTTCATCAACCTTCTCTTTGGGAGCGTGGCCGATCACATTATGACCTACTATAAAAAGATCATTGTCGACCCCCTTGACTTCCGACAGCTTTTTGGAGAACTTCAAAGTGTCATCTTCAATTGCCTTTTTTCCAATATCACCCACTCCCTTTTGGCCGATACGGTAGATGTTCGAGTGTCGCATGTGGCTGATTTTGGCTTGATAAGGCAAATTGAGTGAAAAATATTTCTTCCATCTTTTGCCAATTAAAGATGGAATTTGGTGGCAGATGAATATACCACGCGAAGGCTGCCCCTTTCAAAGAGTTTGGGAAAAGTCTCATCTTCAACCAAGGGTTTGTACCAACCTCACCACATTGAACTGTGAAGCAGCAGATGTGCTTTACTGCTGATTGGTTTCCTTCACCACTGAAAGTCACAAAGTTAGGGACATTGTATCATCTAGGAAACTTTATCAAGTCATATGTGTCTGGATAGGGCTTTTTGTACATTGGTCGGCCTATTCGCCTGAGGCCATTACCATATTCTTGCTTAATAACATCAGCCAGCTGAACCTTATCGACCGCCATTGGCTGATTGGGCTGATCAATGATTAGTCAATCTTGATTTACCACTAGCGGTTGATTGGCCATCGACTGCCCTCCGAGTACCAAAGGTTTTCGCTGATATACCACTAGTGGCTGATTTTCCGTTGGTGGCTGAATATAATTCGACCAGCCTTCTGGTTGATTAGCCATTAATTGCCCCCTGAGTCCTGGTTGTGGTGGTTCCTGAGCATAAAGTGGATTTTGAGCTATCGACTTTATCTAGTTGCCCCCCGAGTTAAAAGGTTTTAGCTGATGTACCACTTGCGGCTGATTTACCACAGGTGCTGATTGTAAATTGGCCAACCTTGCTGTGATTGATTTACCAATAGTGGCTGATTTTTCGCTGGTGGCTGATTATTATTTGGCCAGCCTTCTGGCTTATTAGTCATCAGCTACCCCCGAGTCCCAAAGGTTTTAACTGATATACCATTTGCGGCTAATTTTTCGCTGGTGGCTGATTATAAATCGGCCAGCCTTGTGGCTGATTAGCCATCGGCTACCCCCCGAGTGTCGAAGGTTATGGTATGGAAGCATAAGGCTGATATTCTGGCCATTTTTGTTGCGATTGATTTACCACTGGTGGCTGATTTTTCACCGGTGACTGATTATAATTTAGCTAATCTTGTGGCTGATTAGCCAAATGTTTCCCTCCAAGTCCCGGCTGTGGTAATTCCTGAGCATAAAGTGGATTTGGAGCTCTCCACCTTACTTAATTGCCTCCCGAGTTAAAGGGTACCTGAGAAGGGTTCGGAGGAATTACCTTTGGCCGCTGATGCTGATTCGTCGTTGGCGGCTGCTGAAAAATTGAAATATTTGGCTGCGGTTGGTTCTCTACCCAAACCGGTGGCAAATTTAGTGGTAAACTTGTTGTCGTGCTTAGTTGAAGTAGAACCACAGGCGGCCTTGGTTGTGATCGCTCAGCGGCCGTTGCCGGCTGAACAAATTGTGACAAAATCGGCTGAGTTGCTGATTCTTGATTGCTGGAGCTCCTAGCCTGAGCCGGCTTATTCATTATGGCGGCTGAAAGCTGAGATATTGTTTCATGCAGGTCATTTTGATTTGCACTCATTTTTCCAATCACCTCTAACAAAGAACACACCTGTGTTTGAACCATTGATGCTTTTGATGGTATAACTAGTTCATCCACAGGCCAAGGTAGAGCTACCAACCTGACACTACAAGAAAAATGACTTTTTATCACAGTGGAAAAGGCTTTCTACCACGTTTTTGAACCGTGGTGGAAACAGCCGTGGTAGTAATGTAGAGACTTTCTACCACGGTTTTGCACCGTGGTAGAAAGAAAGACTTTCTACCACGGTGCATGACTGTGGCTAATTTTTTTTTTTTTTTTTTTAACAACTGACACATATATATATATATATATATATATATATATATATATAACCAATTCCAAATCATTGTTTTATATAAAAATTAGCCATATACAAATTTCAAATAAGTACATGTTCCTCACCTTATATATTTACTTAACCAAAATAAAACAAAAATTCTTCATATCTTCTTGCAACTTCTTTATGAGCCATACAAAAAATATAGCGGCAACAAAAAAAGTAACGGCAACTGTAACCCGCAATCCTAGCTTTGACCTACAAAGATGTAATAGTTGAAGTAAGAGAATTAATGTAAAGCAAGTTGTAAAGTTGTCAAAATTAAACCAAGCAAAGCAAGCATTATAATAAGGTACATTGAAAGATCTACTCTTCATGTTAACTCAAGCAAAGCAAGTATTAACATTGTCTTAACTCAAGCAAAGCAAGTTCAGTGTGTCAAAGAAATAATCCCAGGATTAAAGCTTAAGCATGGCTTATTTAATAGGTGATTTCCGGACAAAGAAGATTTATTAATACATTTGAAGAGTTTATCAAAACATTTATAAAGCACACAAGCTATGAACGAATAATTGAGCATTATATATATTTCTTAAAACATACAATGATTTAAGAAAATTCCGTATTCGACTTGCCAATAAAAGAAAATAAAGAAATTTCACTACATTCAACTTGTCAAAAAATTAAAGAAAGTTCACTACATTAGAGTTTGTCAGTCTCTACAACAGTAAAGCATTTGACATGGATCTTAGATTTTAAAAAATAGTCTGCAGAGTGTCCTTGACTATTATAAAAACCTAGCATATGCTTTCCCCTTCACTATCAAGCATGACCACGTTGATTGTTCATTTGATCAAGCTATGTTGCATTTCTTGATGGGAGTATCATTATCAAACAAGTGAATCTTTGATTGGAGGTAATAAAATGCTATTGCATTTAATAATGGGCGTAGTACCATGTATTCTGTAAGCTGATGTTTTGGCTGATTGGTGACATCGACAATTGAAAAAATGCGTGATATGTGATGCATGATTAAGAAATTACTAAAAAAATACAGAATTTGGACTGTTGAAATATTATTTTGTACTTAAATTCAGTATCTGGTTATTAATCAGGATCAGTCGATGCCACTACAGAGGTCGCACCGTTGTAGGCTTGCAGCTTATTATCACAGTTTCTAAGCAGCAATATGATATGCTGATTTAATCTTTCTTTTTCTTTCAGCCTTTTAGTTTCAAAACTTGTGTATGTTTATGCTGAGAGTTTTCCTGTAAGATAAGTTTTGCTTTAAACATTTGAAGAATCAATCTGCATTCAGAATAAGTTACCATAAAATCCTAAAGGCTTGTTCAAAATATTTTCCTGACGGGAGAATTTATTTGTTTGTTTTTGAATGCTTCTGCTTGCCTGCTTGATCTGATCTAAGTTAGAGCTTAAAATTTGACATATTGCACACTGATTCACAGAGATTCAGGCTGCTGGGAGTACATATGGAACTTATTTTCGAGTTACAACATATGGGGGAATCTTATGGTGGGGGCGTTGGATGTGTAATTGATGGATGTCCACCTCGGCTTTCTATCTCAGAAGCTGATATGCAAACAGATCTTGGCAGAAGGTATTTCCATGCATGGTCCTCATGGACTCACGTTTGATATTACCCTATTTCTAAAAGCTTAGTTAGGCAATTTGTCTGGTATTCTGTCCCTACAAATTTGAACCAAGTATTTCGGAACATTATCTGCCAATTTATGCCAGAATTAGAATCATTTTTTCAACAGCTGCTACTGCTTTCTATCATGCTCTCTCTTGTCTCCGCTCCTTTCCAAACTCCCCTCTCCCCCAAACCAATGGGAATGTGATTTCGTGCTTGTCATGGAATATGAATTTTTTTTGTCTAAGCAGGTTAACACCAAGTAGTGGCCTTTGAGGAAGAACATTGATCCTACAACACTACAAGTATTAGATGACCATATTGAACTCAATAAATATAGGCTAATCTTCAACTCTACAGCCGAAGAAACATGAACCTTCAGTAATAGCGGCAGCTTAAAGCTAGCTGCTTGACTTAAATAAGGACCAGTACCTTCAACTTGGTACCCAATTCTTCCTTAGACTAGGCCAATTCTATCCTAATAAATCCACATACTTATGACTATAACATGAGGAATTCTATGTAAGAGTGTTTTGGATTTCTATATTCAGACAAATTCTATCCTAAACAGCCAGCAAAGTTTATAATTTTATATAGGAAACAGCTACTTTGGTCTTTTATGACGATCCACGATTAGTTGAAGCAAGGAATTTTTTACCATATAGAAAATTCCATTATTTAGGACTGATATCTAGTGTTCTACAACTGAGTTACTACATAGAAGACTTGCAGAACATAGTTGGAGGATTATTGAGTTCATATGTTTGTAGTGATCCTATATATATACCTTAATATTATCTATACAATTTCAGGAAGAGATCTAATTAGGTATGATGTGTTTCTATATAGTAAATTCAATGATGTACAATAAATAAATAAAAAATGATCACTTAAGGCACGTGATCCCCTATACACCGCAAAATTGGTCACTTAAAGGCACGTGATCCCCTATACACCGAAAAATTGGTCACTTAAAGGCATGTGACCTCCCGAGCATGAGTATAAAAAGCATTACAAATGTGCTATCATAAAATTTGTTGTTTACATTCTCTTCTAAAAAAAAAAAATTTTTAAATTCATCAAACCTCTTAAAATGGTTCCAAAAATAGGGACAAGGTAAAGGTTAATTTGATATAAGAAATAATCTACGGACTCTATGGTAAAGTTTAAGCATGGTAAAAGAGCAATGAAATTTTATTTTATTTTATTTTTCCCGAAAGGTATAGGGTATAGCGACGACAAGTTGCTAGAGGAAATGTTCTCAAACCTAGAGTTCCATGTTTTGCATAGCCATATTGGATTCCCAAGTCCTGTCTCCTCAATGATCCTACAATTCCAGCATGTGAGGAGTGCTTCCCTAGCCCCTAAAATTAGAAAACCGAAAAAAAGAAAAGAAAATAAATAAAAATCAGAGTATGCTTTATTACCATCTTAAACAGTTTCGAAAAAACTGCACCAAATAGTCTGATACTACTACTAACAATGACACAAGTGAGATAAGATCAACATAGTAAAAAACAAAAGACTAATACATGGTATAATTCTAAAATGCCAACTTTTCTCCATTCGAAATACACTAGTTTGTAAAATTAAAATGAACCTACACTGTCATTTTTTATATAAGTAGCAGAAATTTCATAGAGCACAAATATTCATAATTGTAGAATGAAAATACCGTGGATGGCGGTCCAAAAACAGAGCCAAATAGTCCAGAGGACGATGAAGGCTCCTTGGGACCAAAGAGATCCAAAGTAAAGGACGAAGATGAACCAGCCACTCGATTTGTGTTCTCCATAATTGTCACTTTGCTTTCTTAATTTGTCAGCCAATTAAGGACCGCCCAAACAGAGACTAAGAACTGAGTAAGAGCTAAAGAACAGAGAGACCATGCGAAGTTCGTAGGATATGAAGAAAATGGAAGTGTCACTGCTATTTATAGGACCCAAAGAAATATAACTTGGCACCCATCCTACATCACACACACACTGACACACACACACACACTCTCCCTCTCTATGTATTCACTTTCTCTCTCTAGAGACATAATAGGTTCATCATGAGTTGCAGGCAAGTGGACATGTTGAAAATATTTGATACCACTAGTATCCACGATGGATATTAACATCCTTTTTGTTGTACCTATTTCCAATCTTTGATTCATGCATGAGTATCTTGGAGCCCACATAGATATAGAATTACAACTGTGAAACTACCCGGTACCAAAAACCCAATTCTGATACAAGTATGCAGTATCAAATTGACCCCTACCCAGTACTAAAATTTCAGAATTCCACAAATTCAGTCATTATCTTCACAAATATTTATAACTAAAATTCATAAAAAAATAAAAAAGTTCATGAAAAATTTCACTAAATAGGATTTAGTTTGGAAAACAAGAATTACAGACCTTGAAAAAAAAAAATAAAATAAATAAAAAAAAAAAAAATTTAAACAAAACCCACACATACAAGTTAGCAGTTGCAGAGAGAGGGGCTTGAGAGTTGAGAGATAGAGAGCCAGCGGCTGAAGCTTGCGAACGGCGAACCCGAACTGGAATAGCGGGCGATGGAAACTGAAGGATATGGGTTTTGATTTTTTGAACAATCTGAAATGATATGCGGATATGGGTTTTGATATAGATAATAGGTTTTGAAATTTTGATTCTTGCATACAGATGGATAAATTGAATTATATGGGTTTTGAACTTCAAATTCTTGTAGATTTTGTAGTTTGCAGTTGCACAGAGAGAGGGGGCAAGTTCAGAGTCAAGAACGAGAATAGAGATGGAGGCGATTGGGGAGGCTAAAATGATTTGTCCTAAAAATATTTATATTGAATAATTGAAGAAATGACTTACTAGTATAAGGGCCTTCAGCTTGTTTCAACCCAAATTTGCCAATTAGTCTTTCAGATCCTACAAAAAATTTCACTAAATATGATTTAGTTTGCAAAACAAGAATTACAGACCTTGATTACTTGATTTAGAAAAAAAAAATTAAAACAACACCCTACATACAAGTTAGAAGTTGTAGAGAGAGGGGCTTGAGAGTTGAGAGACAGAGGGCCAACGGCTGAAGCTTGCGAACTCGAACCGAAACAGCGAGCGATGGAAACTGAAGGATATGGGTTTTGATATTTTGAACAATCTGAAATGATATACCGATATGGGTTCTGATTCTAGTAGATTTTGTAGTTTGCAGTTACAGAGATAGAGAGAGGGCAAGTTCAAAGTTAAGAACGAGAATAGAGATGGAGGCGATTTGGGAGGCTGATCTGATTTCTGTAGATTTTGTAGTTTGCAGTTGTAGAGACAGAGAAAGGGCAAGTTCAGAGTTGAGAACGAGAATAAAGATGGAGGCGATTTGGGAGGCTGATCTGATTCTTGTAGATTTTGAAGTTTACAGTCGCAGAGACCGAGAGAGGGCAAGTTCAGAGTTGATAACGAGAATAGAGATGGAGGCGATTTGGGAGGCTGATCTGATTCTTGTAGATGGAGGCATCTGTGTGTGGTCTGAAATGATTTGCCCTAAAATTTTAAGAAAGTAGCGGGAATAAGACCCGCGTGTAACCCTAAAACCAAATTCACTTCCTGCCACGGTGCCTGAACCGTAACCCTAAAACCAAATTCACTTCCTACCACGGTGCCTGAACCGTGGTAGAATAATTTACTACAACGATTTTTTATTAACCGTGGTAAAAAGAGCGGGCCTAAATCTGAGTCAAATTAATTCACTTTCTTAATTCACTTGCTACCACGATTATTATAACCGTGGTGAAATAAATTCACTTTCTACCATGATTCTTTTATAACCGTGATAAAAAATACAATTATTATCACGGTTTTTCCTTAACCGTGGTAAAATATATACTTTCTACCACGGTTATTTTAAAACCGTGGTAGAAAGTGTCTTCTACCACGGTTATTTTAAAATCGTGGTAAAAAGGGCGTGATAAAAAACTGTTTTTCTTGTAGTGTGAGTTGGCTGATGTCCTTCTTCCGGATCATCGTCTATGGCTACGGCCTTAGAGTTCTTCGGTTGCAGCATTGCATATTCTTTTAACACCAAGTAGGGGTCCCACCGGGCGTGCCAAATTATGTTCGCGGGTTTTTTGTGCTCACACCGGCTGATGGACTTTTGCGGGCGTGCCAGAGTATGTAAATACTCAAAATATGATTGAACACTAACTATCCCTTTTAATTAGTGGCTGACTTCAGGCGAATATGTAGGAAAGAGAATAGTAAGAACTCCCAACGAGGTTTTTTTCAGCCTTGTTTGTAAGGACTTTTTTATAGTAGTTGCTTAAAATAAATAAAATGCAATAACTAAAGAAAATTGAATGAACTGGCTGAATTGAAATTGACGGTAAAGGAAATGGCTGAATTGAAATTGACTGTAAAAGAACTGGCCGAATGGAAATAGACTTTAAAGAAATTGGCTGAATGGAAATTGCATGAAAAGCAATGAATGTAGTGAAATAAACTGGCTGAATTTAAATGACAAGAATCTCATCAAAGATTGTCATTGCATTCAATTGAATAAAAACAAATAATTAATATGTAAAGAGTAATTAAAGCATTGCAAAAGAAAAGTAAGTTACTGGAATTTAGATTCTTTGAATGGAAATTGTCATTTGGACAAAAGAATTAAGGAATTGATAAATGACATAGAGTCAATTGAATGAATTTTTTATTCATGTTTTGTGGATGGTGCTAGACGGTTTGTAATGAATTATAATACTTCTATTTATAGAAGTCGTAATCAACTTATTTTCTTATTTATTTGCTACAAGAATCTCCTTCTCCTTGATTTTCTTCTTTTGCAATTTAACCTGGGTCAAACTTTGGAGTGTTTTGCTCCTTTTGTACGCTTTCCTTCAGTTTCCAAAACCTTCTTTTGATCTCCCATCATGGTTGGAAAACTTTCTTACTTCAGTCAACTTCAGTTGCTAATTTATAGCAACCACTTATCATAGATTTGGCAGCTGTATCTTCCCTTAAATGGCCCAACAGCCACTTTTCGCTTTTAAATTTATCCATGTCATTAGTGACGCGGCTGCCCTTTTTTGAATCTTTCCTTCTCTTCTCTAACTAAATCCCTTCATAGGGATTTAATTGTTTTACCTTAACCGAATCTCATAGTCTTTCCTTCCCAGTGAACAACCTATATT